TTGAACTTTGAAGAGTGAGTGTTGCACCTTTGTTCAGCTCATATGAATTATAAGGATGCTCACTAAATTGAAACAAATATTATTGGGACAGATCCTGCTTTATTTGTTACTACAGTTAACGAAATAAAATGCAAAAAAAATAATATTTTTTAAATATTTTAGTTTTCTTGATAAATATTGCAGGCCCATTTGGCTGAATATGTTAGATAAAGTGGGCCAGTGGGATTCAGGTAAAGTGGGTCTTCAAAGTTCAAGCTTTATTAATAAAACAACATGATGTTTCAGCTGTCCATGAAGGCCTTGGACGGTTGAAACGTCATGTTGTTTTATTAATAAAGCTTGAACTTTGAAGAGTGAGTGTTGCACCTTTGTTCAGCTCATATGAATTATAAGGATGCTCACTAAATTGAAACAAATATTATTGGGACAGATCCTGCTTTATTTGTTACTACAGTTAACGAAATAAAATGCAAAAAAAATAATATTTTTTAAATATTTTAGTTTTCTTGATAAATATTGCAGGCCCATTTGGCTGAATATGTTAGATAAAGTGGGCCAGTGGGATTCAGGTAAAGTGGGCTAACCTTTAACCTTCAGTAATTATACTCAAATGCATTAAATAAATTGACATTCTCTGGTTATTTTGTAGTATTTTGTAATTTACTTTTTTAGAAAACAGAAATGAGACTGCAGTCAGGAAATTCTAGTCAGAGATGGAAGAAAGGAAAGAGAAACTAGAAAGGAAGTCAAGGCATGAAGGTAAATCTGTGGAGTGAAGAAATGCTGAGAGGAGCAAAATGTAGATGCAGAATATAAAGCTTAAAATATGAACACAAAGTTCATTTAAAGTGTTTAGAGAACATAGAAAAAAATGTTTTATATATGGTTACTATTTTAAATGATGCTCTTAAATTTGTTTTGCCTATTTGTTGTTGCTTGTGTTATAGTCACATTTTTTTATATATTGTAGATTTTCTTTTTTTAATCAATATTCAGATTTCTGAATATTCTGATATTCAGATTTCATAACATTTAAGGTCAACACAACATGTTCTTTCAGTTGTTTGGAATTTCACACATGAATTGAGACAAGGATTTGTACATGATTTGTTTTACTCATAACCTATAGGTTATACAATTTTTGGTTTGTTAAATATGTTTGTCTGATAATATGTGTTAATATATCATGTGTTTTTAATTAAGATGCAGAATCATTTTTGATAAATAAGGAATGGCCCACTTGACCTGAAAATACATTTGTCTGGAGTGCATGATCTCAAAATGTTTATTGGTATATAGCTTGCAAATAACACTTTATATGAACTGTATTTAACTTGAACTATTATAGCTGGACCTTAAAGTTAACAAGAGAAATAAAGAAAAAAAACATCTAGGTATCTTAATTTACACGTTTTACAAAGAGTGGCCCACTTTACCTGAATTCACCGTAGTACTAATGGTATATTTCACTCATTACTTTTACATTTCCAATACCTTCATTTCTGTAAGCAGAGTTTAGTGAAAACGTTAATCCTCTAATTTATATTACAAGCCCTCCATGACTGTCTCCAGTTGCTTCTGGACCTGAGACACATAGGGCTCAAACCAATTTTGTATCTTCTCTGCCTTTTCCTGAATTGTGTTACGCATATTCTCTGTGCTCTTCTCAACTTTTTCTTTGAGGTCCTGCATTTGTGATTCCATGATTCCAGTTATTCCTTCACCCTGGCTTCTTAGTAGATCTGCCAGAGTTGTCAGCTTCTCTTCAGCACGCTGATGCACTGATGCACTGAAAGGTTCGAGACGATCCTTCACATCCTCCATACTCTGAGCAGTACGAGAGCGAACCTCCTCAAAGTATGTTGTCATTTTCCTTTAGATAAGAGAAGAGACAAAGAAATTGCTCAAAATTGAATTTTTTATAGATAAGTATTTTACTTGTAACTTTATATATATGCAAGTTACATAAAATATATATTAATAATATAAAATGTACATAATACAAGTTTATTCGATTTTTTATTTTATCTAAAAACACAAAAGTGCGTATCTATGTTATTGATTACAGTTTTGTTAATATATTACAAGATTTTTACATTTTAAACTAAACATATTATCATATCCTATCTTATCCCTGGACCACAAAACCAGTCATAAGGGTACATTTTTCGAAATTGAGATTTATACATCCTCTGAAAGCCTAATACATAAGCTTTCCATTGATGTATGGTTTGTTGGGATAGGACAATATTTGGTTGAGATACAACTATTTGAAGATCTGGAATCTGAGGTTGCAAAAAAAAAAATCAAAATACTGTGAAAATCGCCTTTAAAGTTGTCCAAATTAAGTTCTTAGCAATGCATATTACTAATGAAAAATTAAGTTTTAATATATTTACAATAGGAAATTTACAAAATATCGTCATGGAACATGATCTTTACTTAATATCCAAATGATTTTTGGCATAAAAGAAAAATCAATAATATTGATCCATACAATTTTTTTTTGGCTATTGCTACAAATATACCCCAGCGACTTAAGACTGGTTTTGTGCTCCAGGGTCACATATTTCCCCTCCAACAGTAATAAAAATATCAAAATCAAAATATGAATCTTTTAATTAAAGTAATTAATTTAAATCCTAAACTGTTATTGTCAATAAGGCATTGTCAACACTGATATATAGAAAAGCAGTAAGTTATTAAGTTTTCTATCTACACAGCCATTCAAAAGTTTGGGGTTGGTAATATTTTTTAATGTTTTTGAAAGAATTCTCCTATGCTCACCAAGGCTGCATTTACTTGATCAAACACACAATAAATTAGTAACATTGTAAAATATTAATACAATTTAAAATAACTGTTTTAATGCATTTTAAGGCAAATTCATCAGTATTCATATTTATTTTGTCACAAGATCCTTCAGAAATCCTTATAATTTGTTGCTCAAGAAACATTTCTTCTTATCAATGTTTGAAAGGTCAAGAGAACAGCATTTATTTGAAATAGAAATATTTTGTGACTTTTTAAATGTCTTTACTGTCACTTTTGATCAGTTTAATGCATGCACGAGGTCACTCACTTGTTGATCTCTTGGATGTCCTTGTTAAAACGTTTCCTTAGTTTTTTGGCATAGGTGTTGACCCTGTTCTTGACCTCGTCAGCGTTCTGTTCCACAATGGTTCGGAGCTCCTCTGTGTATTCATTGACACGATCCCTAGCATCCTCCATGTGTGTGCGGAGCTTACTGGCCAGCAGCTGCAGATCTTCATTGAATCTCTTGGCAGTCTCCTGCGCATAAGGGCCCAGTTTGGAGTGTAAGTCATCTTTGTACATTTGCAGCTCCATCATGGTGTCACTGATCAGTGTGCTGCAAAGAAATGAATTTCAATATCATAAATCAGCTTTCTTGACTCTGGACTTCAATTTTCGATCAGTCTAGCCTTTTCTGCATCTTTACAGATTCAGTTTCTCAAATACTTGCTTTGCTGCAATGTTTTGTAGCATTTACTCACTCTAATTCTCTGCCGAGCTGGGTGGCTTTGATGTTATCCCTCATCTCCTCAGTCTTTGAGGTCAGCTCGGACACATGGTTCCAGAACTGATCCACTGCCTCTTCCCAGCGGCTTTTTGGCTCATCCTGAAACAGGAAGTTCCCCTGGCAGCCTGCAAAGTCAGAATGGAGCACAAATATATTTTTTAATGTGTCAAATATTTGTTAATGTAGTCCGTTGTTGTAGACACCTCATCTGTACCATCAAGCTCTCAAAGAAAACCATCACAAAATCCATTCAAATGATCTGCAGAGGTAATCCAAGTTCTAAGCATAAGCATAGATATATTTTGAATTTGTTGAAGATTTGCGTTCGTTGGTGATCTCTTACCTGAAATAACAGCGAGAGCAAGGATTACAGCCACAAACTTCATGATTGTTTTTGGACAGTACACCAGACAGATTTTCCAATGTGTTCTGTAATGGGAGTTTGGAAGCAGCTGGCATTTATATGACTTGGATCACAGTCATGTTGATAGCCATAATGTAACTATGAACAGGTGAATTGGCAGCCTGTGTCCAAAGTTCTTCTCTTCAGATACTTGTTTATCGCAGTCTTCCATTCCACGTTGCATGAATAAGGTTCCAAAAGGACAAGATGTACTATAATTAAAAAATTGGTTTATTAAAAATGAATGTGGCTCATTGGGTTAGGTGTTGTAGCCAGAGGTATCTCAGTGAAAGTACAGAACAAAGTCACAATGTCATATTTGAACATCAGTGTATTTTTATTGAATTGTTAATACCAAAATAATCATAAAACAGCAGAAAAGAGATGGACCAAGTCATAAAAAGTGGGACATTGATGTTAATGCAAAAAAAAAAGAAATTTGTTTGTTAATATTCAATTGTTCTGCAACAAGACATTTGCTACTAAAAACATCTTGGCTTGCATGATTCAAGGATCAAAGCTTATCATTTATTTCTCTTCTAGTTGCGATTTTATCACTGTACTTCACATTCACCCCATTTGGAAGGAGCATTGTAATGCTTAAAATGGAGCTGTAACTTTAAGCTCAGCAAGCTAAGAACACTTGACTCATGTAGCCATGTTTTCCTGTGCGCATGTATTGTTGGCTTCTTTTTATAGATGATATTATTTTCTACAGTAAGTCTGATTTACAGTTACCAATCAATTATGGGAAAATGTCATTGTGTTTTAAACTAAAACAGGATAAGATATCATGTCAGCAAATCAGAATCAGTCTATTATCTTGAGCATTTCTTGCATGAAGACTTTGTGCAAGAGGACTGTGATAAACTCACTTTGGCTCACGTACCACACATAATAAATAGATTAAATAATTGGTCGTTTTGTAAAAAAAAAATCTGTTTAATAAGCCTCAGTTGAAATATAAATATATATCAGATTCATAATTGACAGTACTTCAGTGTTGTTCATCACATTTAGTTTTATATTGTTATTATTACCTAAGATATTATGCTTATTATTTAACATGTATAGGTGCAACCATGAAAAAGGGCTACATTATACATTTTCACAGCTGTATTTGCTCTTTTAATGTTTCTGTAGTCCAGGTTTTTTTTTTTTTTGGTCACACAATCAATAACTGATAATGTCAAGCCCTATATATTGTGGGCTGAAACACTTTTATCCTGACTATTTGAAATGTTACAAAAAAGTAGGTAAAACATTCCTTATAGGGTTCAAAGGCCACATGACCTTAAAATTGAAGTGTGAGGTAAAATAGCTGGGTGCTTGGTGACAGGGTGTTGTCAAAATGAACAGGATTTGAACCCTTGTTCTTTTGTCTGACTAACAAATAAAGATAAAGCAATTAACTTTTTTTTTTTTTGCATATGGACAACTTGGGTGCTTATCCAAGTATCACACCTAGTCCGCTACCTTTGTGGCTCTAAAGACTGGAATACATACATGATTTTTATACAGATATTTGCAGTCTGGACAAGTAGATGCTAGATGCTGAAAGTCAGAGCCAGTCTGCAGATTTTGGGCAGTCTACAGAGTTCACAGAAATTTGCGTAGTGTGTGATGGCCACAGACTCACTTGTTTTTATTTGTCATGTCCTAGCAAAAAGGCTCATGTTTCTGTGTGATTTTGTTGTGCTCAGAATGACTTGGAAAAAGTCTGGTATAGTGTGTGATCCTTAGTAAGTAGTTGGAAAGTCAAGTGTATGATGTCTAATGTTTATTCCAGCTTTAAGTAATCATATTTGGGTTCAGAAGTTCAGAAGCCTCGCACACATTTCTGCAATTAAAATCTTGCATATGGACCACAGCATTACAAATATCCGTAGTGTAGTATTTTAGACATAGAGTTTGTGTTGTTGTTTTTTTTGAAAACCCCTCACACAATTGGAGTGACCACAGCATTATAAATTAGTGTTTGTGCTATTTTATTAAAATTTTTTTTTGAAAAACATACATGAGCAACAAAGAAATATACTATGTGAAACCCTCAATGGTAACAGAAATGTCCTTTTGCATTTCCCAAAAGTCTCTCAAGACTGCTTGTTCTTGGCAAAGGACTCCCAGAGATCTGTTAACTGGGTCTTCAGGTCCTGAGCGTATGGATCCAGTTTGCTGAGCTCCTCTGAATAGGGAGCCAGATTCTTCTGAAGCTCCTGACTTCTCTGGGCCAGCTGACTCTGAAAGGTTTGGGCTAATGGTGACATGCTCATCTGAAACTCCAAAAAGTGCTGGTCCACTTTCTGCTTCAGCTCCTCGGTTTGAGGACCCATCTCCATCAAACTTCTCTCCAGCTTGGCCTTCAGCTCCTCGGCCCCCTGGACCAGAGTAGATCTCAGGGCCTCGGAGTTCAGGGCCTCTGCATATGGCGCCGCATCCTTCTTCAGCCGCTCAACCTGCTCCTCAATATCACCTCTGATCTCCTCAACGTAAGGCTTGAGATGGGACTGCACAGATGTCATTTCCTGTTCCAGGCGCAGTTTCAGCTGATCTGCCTCTTGGGAAAGTTTGGCCATCAGGTCTCGAGTCAGAAGAGTTACTTGATTTTGAATGGCCAGGGTGTATTTGTTGATGGCATCTGCACTTTGAGAGATCCTGTCACTGAGGAGAAATGGAGATAGATGTTTGTGTATTTCAAAGTTTTATGATTTGTTTTATAGCTGGTTCGTCATCTTATATGCTTACTTGATTTCTTGACCCAGTTCTGAGTTTCGGATCATCTGCAGGGTGTCCTCAGCTGTGAGGGTTGCCTGAGACACGTAATTCCAGAATGCGTTTTTCACCAGATCCATACTGGGCACTGACTTCTCCTGCCACAACATACTGGCATGACAACCTAAAGGATTCATCATAATTAAAAAATATTAACTGGTTTAAAACAACATTTTCTGACCAGTTTTGAGAGCACCTCCAATTTTTATTCAAACACTTAAACAAACAAACACTTACCAGTGAAAACTGCAATGACAAACACTACCAGGACCTTCATGATTATGCGCAGACTCTACACGAAAAAAAAAATTTCATTTTGTCATGCAAGACCACTATAAATATTTTTGACTAGTTTGCATTTAACCGAAAAGAACATACAGTAAGTATGCATTCATTTGTGTTTTTGTCCAGTTGCTTACCTTTCTCTTGTCCTCTTCTGTGTGTAAGTGTTGAGAAGGAATCAGCACTGTATTTAAATGGGTTGCCGAGCTCTGATAAAGGCAGTAAAGTCCAGAAGGCAGTGCCCTGCTGTCAGCTCTACATGCCATGTCAATTATTCCACATCATGAAATCAACCCAACTGAACTGAACTCAGATCTGTGACTCACAATTATTCCTACAGAGTCCGATATAAGTACTGTATAACAAGGAAGTCTAAAATTAATGTCCTATAAAACTTAAAAACATCCAAATTAAGGAAAAGGGAAAACAGGAAAAATAATACTATCACATTTTAAATCATTCCTGTATTATTAGTTTGGGTTTAGTTTAAAGTATTGTTTTGGAACATAGTTTTGAGGAAAATTGTCTTCATTATTGGGGGAAAACCCACCAATGCTAGCTCCCATGGCTATTTTAATGGAAGGACAATTTTACTGTTAAATATTTTTAATTTAAATGCATTTTTACAAAAATCTCAAAAATTATAATTGGTTTAACTTTATTAAAAAAATCTTCCAGTGTTAAATGAATTAAAATAATCCCTGATATAATATAATGTAATGTTTTTAGCCCATATATTCTACAGCTACACCATAATTCTGTTTACTTTACATAATGTTTTAGGCATAAATTCAAGGTAACATTCTCGCAAAGCCACATTTAGCAATAAGAATAAGCAATTTCCTGTGCATGCAGAGTTATCATATACTTTTCAAAATGAAGTACACATTGACCTACTAAAGATTTGTGAGTATTTACAGTTTGATTTTTTCCTTAAGCAATTAAGGAAAGACTAATTAAGTAAATGATTAATGAGAAAACAGCAAAAGGTTACTACGGGATCTGCAGACTTGATGCGTTTATTGGTTTGATACACAGTGTTGAAAGAAGAAATCAGCGGTATGTCAGTGAGGTAAAAGGTTACTTTAAGCAGTATTGTAAATCACTCGCCATCTTGTCTAGGCATTCATCCAGTTACACAAAACCGCCATCAGGGCATCAAGAATGTTTGTATCTGAGCTTATCAATCAGGTCAAGGAGAACACAGAGAACTGACCCCTGAGCTTGTCATATTGATTCAGTTGCATTCCAGTGAACACAGCTTATGGCTGCATTCCAATGCAGAAAATATGCTGTGTATTTAACATCACTGTCGCTCAAATCATCTGTTCTAAAATGGTCCTATTATTTTGATAATAATGAAATTAATTTAAGGTAGAACTCAACAGGAAAACGTTGTAGTTTTCATTTTATGCATACTACATGGTTATATTATTACTTTTTAATATTTTTAAATAAAAGTATGGTTCGGTAAAAGAAATTAAATTGAGCATTGCTATAGTCCCAATGAAACAACATTCCATATAAAGTATATACTAGAAGTACTCTCTCACAATCATTGAAGTGCAGAGGTACTTTGCATGTTGGGCTGCACGTATTAACGTAAGGTTGTTGTAATGATGATTGATGAGTCGGGTATTAAAGAGGATCCTTTTGGACATTGCCCTCTTCTTCACAACACTTATCTGCATTTAAAAAGAGTCTGATATCTGCTGAACATGTAATAACTAAGGAGGAGGAAGCAAGGGACATGGGACAACTAATCCGTTTTGTATTTTTTATTTTTCTATATTATGTTCTGGCATGTATTCACCTAAAAAAACTAAAAGACAAAAAAAATTAAAAACCAGACAGGGTCAATGGACTTGGTAAAAAAACAATTACTGTGTTAACGCAAGTAAAGCAATCATATCAGCTACAGACACAATATTATGACCATTCAATGTGCCTAATTAGTTATCAGACTGCACATAACTGTGTGAGATTGTTACTCTTGTTATCTGATGAAGGCCTTGGACGGCTGAAACGTCATGTTGTTTTATTAATAAAGCTTGAACTTTGAAGAGTGAGTGTTGCACCTTTGTTCAGCTCATATGAATTATAAGGATGCTCACTAAATTGAAACAAATATTATTGGGACAGATCCTGCTTTATTTGTTACTACAGTTAACGAAATAAAATGCAAAAAAAATAATATTTTTTAAATATTTTAGTTTTCTTGATAAATATTGCAGGCCCATTTGGCTGAATATGTTAGATAAAGTGGGCCAGTGGGATTCAGGTAAAGTGGGCTAACCTTTAACCTTCAGTAATTATACTCAAATGCATTAAATAAATTGACATTCTCTGGTTATTTTGTAGTATTTTGTAATTTACTTTTTTAGAAAACAGAAATGAGACTGCAGTCAGGAAATTCTAGTCAGAGATGGAAGAAAGGAAAGAGAAACTAGAAAGGAAGTCAAGGCATGAAGGTAAATCTGTGGAGTGAAGAAATGCTGAGAGGAGCAAAATGTAGATTGCAGAATATAAGCTTAAAATATGAACACAAAGTTCATTTAAAGTGTTTAGAGAACATAGAAAAAAAATGTTTTATATATGGTTACTATTTTAAATGATGCTCTTAAATTTGTTTTGCCTATTTGTTGTTGCTTGTGTTATAGTCACATTTTTTTATATATTGTAGATTTTCTTTTTTTAATCAATATTCAGATTTCTGAATATTCTGATATTCAGATTTCATAACATTTAAGGTCAACACAACATGTTCTTTCAGTTGTTTGGAATTTCACACATGAATTGAGACAAGGATTTGTACATGATTTGTTTTACTCATAACCTATAGGTTATACAATTTTTGGTTTGTTAAATATGTTTGTCTGATAATATGTGTTAATATATCATGTGTTTTTAATTAAGATGCAGAATCATTTTTGATAAATAAGGAATGGCCCACTTGACCTGAAAATACATTTGTCTGGAGTGCATGATCTCAAAATGTTTATTGGTATATAGCTTGCAAATAACACTTTATATGAACTGTATTTAACTTGAACTATTATAGCTGGACCTTAAAGTTAACAAGAGAAATAAAGAAAAAAAACATCTAGGTATCTTAATTTACACGTTTTACAAAGAGTGGCCCACTTTACCTGAATTCACCGTAGTACTAATGGTATATTTCACTCATTACTTTTACATTTCCAATACCTTCATTTCTGTAAGCAGAGTTTAGTGAAAACGTTAATCCTCTAATTTATATTACAAGCCCTCCATGACTGTCTCCAGTTGCTTCTGGACCTGAGACACATAGGGCTCAAACCAATTTTGTATCTTCTCTGCCTTTTCCTGAATTGTGTTACGCATATTCTCTGTGCTCTTCTCAACTTTTTCTTTGAGGTCCTGCATTTGTGATTCCAGTTTCTCTTTTATTCCTTCACCCTGGCTTCTTAGTAGATCTGCCAGAGTTGTCAGCTTCTCTTCAGCACGCTGATGGACTGAGGCGAAGTAAGGTTCGAGACGATCCTTCACATCCTCCATACTCTGAGCAGTACGAGAGCGAACCTCCTCAAAGTATGTTGTCATTTTCCTTTAGATAAGAGAAGAGACAAAGAAATTGCTCAAAATTGAATTTTTTATAGATAAGTATTTTACTTGTAACTTTATATATATGCAAGTTACATAAAATATATATTAATAATATAAAATGTACATAATACAAGTTTATTCGATTTTTTATTTTATCTAAAAACACAAAAGTGCGTATCTATGTTATTGATTACAGTTTTGTTAATATATTACAAGATTTTTACATTTTAAACTAAACATATTATCATATCCTATCTTATCCCTGGACCACAAAACCAGTCATAAGGGTACATTTTTCGAAATTGAGATTTATACATCCTCTGAAAGCCTAATACATAAGCTTTCCATTGATGTATGGTTTGTTGGGATAGGACAATATTTGGTTGAGATACAACTATTTGAAGATCTGGAATCTGAGGTTGCAAAAAAAAAAATCAAAATACTGTGAAAATCGCCTTTAAAGTTGTCCAAATTAAGTTCTTAGCAATGCATACTACTAATGAAAAATTAAGTTTTAATATATTTACAGTAGGAAATTTACAAAATATCGTCATGGAACATGATCTTTACTTAATATCCAAATGATTTTTGGCATAAAAGAAAAATCAATAATATTGATCCATACAATTTTTTTTTGGCTATTGCTACAAATATACCCCAGCGACTTAAGACAGGGTCACATATTTCCCCTCCAACAGTAATAAAAATATCAAAATCAAAATATGAATCTTTTAATTAAAGTAATTAATTTAAATCCTAAACTGTTATTGTCAATAAGGCATTGTCAACACTGATATATAGAAAAGCAGTAAGTTATTAAGTTTTCTATCTACACAGCCATTCAAAAGTTTGGGGTTGGTAATATTTTTTAATGTTTTTGAAAGAATTCTCCTATGCTCACCAAGGCTGCATTTACTTGATCAAACACACAATAAATTAGTAACATTGTAAAATATTAATACAATTTAAAATAACTGTTTTAATGCATTTTAAGGCAAATTCATCAGTATTCATATTTATTTTGTCACAAGATCCTTCAGAAATCCTTATAATTTGTTGCTCAAGAAACATTTCTTCTTATCAATGTTTGAAAGGTCAAGAGAACAGCATTTATTTGAAATAGAAATATTTTGTGACTTTTTAAATGTCTTTACTGTCACTTTTGATCAGTTTAATGCATGCACGAGGTCACTCACTTGTTGATCTCTTGGATGTCCTTGTTAAAACGTTTCCTTAGTTTTTTGGCATAGGTGTTGACCCTGTTCTTGACCTCGTCAGCGTTCTGTTCCACAATGGTTCGGAGCTCCTCTGTGTATTCATTGACACGATCCCTAGCATCCTCCATGTGTGTGCGGAGCTTACTGGCCAGCAGCTGCAGATCTTCATTGAATCTCTTGGCAGTCTCCTGCGCATAAGGGCCCAGTTTGGAGTGTAAGTCATCTTTGTACATTTGCAGCTCCATCATGGTGTCACTGATCAGTGTGCTGCAAAGAAATGAATTTCAATATCATAAATCAGCTTTCTTGACTCTGGACTTCAATTTTCGATCAGTCTAGCCTTTTCTGCATCTTTACAGATTCAGTTTCTCAAATACTTGCTTTGCTGCAATGTTTTGTAGCATTTACTCACTCTAATTCTCTGCCGAGCTGGGTGGCTTTGATGTTATCCCTCATCTCCTCAGTCTTTGAGGTCAGCTCGGACACATGGTTCCAGAACTGATCCACTGCCTTTTCCCAGCGGCTTTTTGGGTCATCCTGAAACAGGATGCTCCCCTGGCAGCCTGCAAGTCAGAATGGAGCACAAATATTCTTTAACAGGTCAAATATTTAGTAGTGTAGAGCATTGTTGTAGACACATCATCTGTACTGTCAGGGTCACAATGAAAACCATCACATAATCCTTTCAAACGATCTGTTGAAGTAATCCAAGTTCTAATACGTATCAGACTTTCAACCTCTGCTGCAAACTCTTTTGAATTTGTGAAGATTTGCATTGTTGATGATCTCTTACCTGAAATGATAGCAAGAGCAAGGATTACAGCCACAAACTTCATGATTGTTTTTGGACAGTACACCAGACAGATTTTCCAACGTGTTCTGTAATGAGAGTTTGGAAGCAGCTGGTATTTATATGCCTTGGATCACAGTCATGTTGATAGCCATAATGTAACTATGAACAGGTGAATTGGCAGCCTGTGTCCAAAGTTCTTCTCTTCAGATTGTTGATTATCGCTCTTTCATTCCACGTTGCATGCATGGTTGCATTAAGGTTCCAAAAGGACAAGATGTGCTATAATTGAAAAACTGGTTTGTTGAAAATGAATGTGGCTCATTGGTTTAGGTGGTCTAGTCAGAGGTATCTAAGTGAAAGCACAGACCCAATGTCATATTTGGATATCAAGACGTGTTATTTTATTGAACACAATTGAATTATGGTAATACCAAAATAATCAAAAGGCAGAAGAGAGATGGACCAAGTCATAAAAAGTGAGACAGTGATGTCAAAAAGTGTAATATTTTATTATTATGCAACAATTATTACTGAGAAGAGGTGCTCTACCAACGATAGAGGAGGTGCAACCAAAAAAGCCATATCAATTGAAAAAGGTGCAGCACTCACTCTTGAAGGGGTGAAAACTTTGATTAATTTTTTTATTTTTATTTAACTTTATTTGTTATCTGATGAAGGCATTGATAACGGCCAAAACGTCATTTTAATCAATAAAGTTTTCACCCCTTCAAGAGTGAGTGCTGCACCTTTTTCAATTGACACGGATTATTATACAACAAGACATTTGTTGCTTAATAAATAATTAATATTTCATTATTATGCAACAAGACATCTGCTACTAAAAAGCATCTTGGCTTGCATGATTCAAGGATCAAAGCTTATCATTTATCTCTATTCTAGTTACCATTTTATCACTGTACTTCACATTCACATGGAAGGAGCACTGTAATGCTTAAAATGGAGCTGTAACTTCATGCTTAGTTAATTAAGAACACTTTTGACTTATGTATCCATGTTTTCTTATGTTCATATATTGCTGGCTTCTTTTTATAGATGATTTTATTTTCTTAAGTACGTCTGTTTTACAGATAACAATCAATTACAGAAAAATGTCATTGTGATCTAAACTAAAACAGGATAAGATATCATGTCAGCAAACTGCTATCGTCTCACATAAGAGAGAATAATTTTTTTGCATGAAGGCTTTGTGCAAGAGGACAATGATAAACCCGTTTTGGCTCATGCTATACCACACATAATAAATAGATTAAATAGGTTGTTTTGTAAAAAAAAAAAAAAATTTTTTTAAAGTGTATATATATATATATATATGTTGTGTAAATGACAATGCATCAGTGCCTGCAAATTATTTTATCGCATTTTATTATTATTATTACCTAAGATATTATGTATATTATTTTCAATTATGTAACATATAATTGAAAAAAATGATCATGGAAAAACAAGTGATACATTATATGTTTTCACAACTGTATTTGCTCTTTAAATGTTTCAGTCGGTCAGTTTTTTTTTTTTTTTTTTGTCAACAACTTAACAACTGATATGTCAAGCCCTGTATGTTGCACGCCGACACACTTTTGGCTGGATGTTGCAGTGTTTTATTGTCAGAATGAACAGGATTCGAACCCTTGTTTGAATTCTTTTATCTGAATAACAAATAAAGATAAAGCAATTTACGTTTGTTGTATATAGACAGCGTGATACATTTTTCAAAGTACATAAAGGAAAATTGACTTTAGCAAGTACTTATCCAAGTTCACTCCTAGTCCGCTACATTTGTGGCTCTGAAGACTGGAATACATACATGACTTTTATACCGATTTTTGCCCCTATTTGCAGTCTGGACAAGAAGATGCTAGTTGAGGAAATTCAGAGCCAGTCTGCAGATTTTGGGCAGTCGGAGCTAGAAACTAGCATACTGTATGATGGCAACAGACTTATTTGTTTTCATTTGTCATGTGTCTTTTAGCAAAAAGGTGCAAGTTTCTGTGTGAATTAGTTGTGTATGATGCCTAGTTTTTCTCTGTGACATTTACAAAGTTGATGCCTAATGTTTTTACACCTCTGTTCCAATTTTAAGAGTCATGAAGTATATTCCAGCTTTAAGTAATACTAGGGGTGCCAGAATTAAATAAACGTTCAGAAGCCTCACACACACATATCTGCAATTAAAATCTTGTGTATGACCACAGCATTAGAAATTAGACATGTTAAACTTTTTTTATCCTCAATAAAAACAATAATTGTAGATATTAAACAATGTTTTCGATATATTTAGCATTTTTTGAAATACATTCTTAAGCAACAAAGAAGTAGTAGTTGAAACCATGTAAGTTTTTTCAGCAATTAAAATCTTGCATATGCACTGCATTAAAAATTTCACAAAAATTGTGGATATCAAATGTAGTGTTTGTGCTATTTTATTTAGCAATTTTTGGAAAAACATACACGAGCAACAAAGAAATATACTAGTTGAAATCCCCAGTGGTAACAGAAGCATCCTTTTGCATTTCCAAAAAGTCTCTACAGTCTTTCAAGACTGCTTGTTCTTGGCAAAGGACTCCCAGAGAGCTGTTAACTGGGCCTTCAGGTCCTGGGCGTATGGATCCAGTTTGCTCAGCTCCTCTGAATAGAGAGCCAGATTCTTCTGAAGCTCTTGACTTCTCTGGGCCAGCTGACTCTGAAAGCTTTGGACTAATGGAGACATGCTCATCTGAAAGTCTAAAAAGTGCTGGTCCAGTTTCTGCTTCAGCTCCTCGGTTTGAGGACCCATCTCCATCAAACTTCTCTACAGTTTGGCCTTCAACTCCTCGGCCCCCTGGACCAGAGTAGATCTCAGGGCTTCAGAGTTCAGGGTCTCTGCGTACGGGGCCACATCCTTCTTCAGCTGCTCAACCTGCTCCTAAAAGTCACCTCTGATCTCCTCAACATAAGGCTTAAGCTGGGACTGCATGGATGTCATTTCCTGTTCCAAATGCAGTTTCAACTGATCCGCCTCTTGGGAAAGTTTGGCCAGCAGGTCTCGAGTCAGAGTTACTTGACTTTGAATGGCCAAGGTGTATTTGTTGATGGCATTTGTGCTTTTGGAGATCCTGTCACTGAGGAGAAACGGAGATAGATGTTTGTGTTTTTAAAAGTTTTATGATTTGTTTTATAGCTGGTTTATCAGGTCATCATCTTATTTATTATAGACTTGATTTCTTGACCCAGTTCTGAGTTTCGGATCATCTGCAGTGTGGGTTGCCTGAGACCCGTAATGAATTTTTCACCAGATTCTTACTGGGCTCTGGCTGGTCCTGCCACATCACATTGGCATGACAACCTAATGGATTCATCATAATTCAATTATATTAACTGATTTAAAACTTAACATTTTCTCTGTTTTTGAGCACCTCCAATTTTCATTAAAACACCATTTTTTTTTAATGAGTGAAATTCCGTGAATACTAACCAGTGAAAACTGCAATAACAAACACTACAAAGGTCTTCATGATTATGCGCAGGCTCTACAAAAAAACAAACAAAAAATCGTTTTGTCAGGCAAGACCACTATAAATATTTTTGACTAGCTTTCACTTAACTGAAAAGAACATAAGTATACATTCATTTGCGTTTTTTGTCCAGTCCCTTACCTTTCTCTTGTCCTCTTTTGTTGTAGGTGTTGAGAAGGTATCAGCACTGTATATAAATGGGTTGCTGAGCTCTGATAAAGGCAGTAGAGTCCAGAAGGTAGCGCCCTGCTGTCAGTTGTACATGCCATGTCACTCATTCCACATCATGAAATCAGCTGAACTGAACTGAACTCAGATCTGTGACTCACAATTATTCATAGAGTCAGATGTAAGTACTGTATAAAGTCTTAGAATTGAATCCTGTAAAACTTCAAAACATAAAACTGTAATCTAGATGCATTACAGTATATACAGGAAAAGGAATAATATCAAAATTTAAACAATTCCTGGATATACACTTTTGGTTTTGTTTTTAAATTATTGTTTTGAAGAAAAAAATTAATGTTTGTTTTTTAACACCATGCCAGCTCCCATGTCTATTTTCGTGGTAGGAAAATTGTATTGTTAATTATTTAAATTAAAGTGCTTTTTTTTACTAAAAATTCTAAAATTATATTTGGTTTAATTTGTTTAAAAAAATCTTCCAAAGTGCTAACTGAATAAAAATGGTTTCTCACAGGGTTAAACACCGCAAAATCTAATAAAACATGTTTCAGGGATTTTTACAAAAGAACATGGTGGACACAATATAGACAGTTAAATGATGAGTAATATTTAGATTTTATGTTTACAGATTTGAATAAATAATAATAATTAAAAATAATTAATTTTTGCTACCGGCAAATATGAAACAAATAAAAATAAAAAGCTATGTAATTAAAGAAAAAAACAAACATATAATATCTAAAATATTTGTGTACAGAAGGAGAGATAACATTTATTAGTCTCTATAGAAGCATCTACACCATAAGTACAGTAACATTCTCACAAGCCACATTTATTAGCAATAGGTTTTCCTGCGCATGCACAGTTCTGCCATAAACTGGAAAATTAGTTTTAGGAAAATTAGTGATATTGATCTTGACCATCTTAGTCTTTATATTGGTGACTTACTGGTTGTGGCCTCGGTTGACCAATATAACGCTGCTTTCGCATCTATTCTGGATGAGGTTGCCCCTCTGAAAAAATGTGTTGTTTCTTTCAAGAGATCATCTCCTTGGTTATACATCTGAGTTACGTTGTATGAAAGCTAAAGGCAGGCAGTTAGAGCAGAGATACAAAAAAACCCGGTTTTAACAGTTCATAGATCAATGATTGATCAGCATCAGATTGAATACCACAATGCTCTCAAAGCTGCAAAAATGGCATATTATTCTACAATTATTAGCAGTGACATCTCTAATCCCAGAGTTCTGTTTAGAACAGTTAATAATCTTATTAAACCTCCTAGTAACATTAACTGTTCCAATATCTATAATTCTATTGCTGGTGATCTTGCTTCTGAATTTGTTGAGTTGCATCCTCCAAATCTCTCTGACTATGTTTTCTCAAGTTTCAGTGTTGTTGATTCTGATTTTGTCTAAACTTTTGTCAATGAACTCAACTACTTGAATACTGGATCCTTTCCCTACTACTGTATTGAAAAACTGTTAGTCTGTTATTGTACCCCACATCACCACCATTGTCAATGTCTCACTTAGTGAAGGGATTGTTTCTCCTGCTTTAAAAATGGCAGCAGTTAAAAAGCCTGGTTTTATAAATAAAAAAGCCTAAATATATCACTATATTGCTGAGATGTCCAATTATCGGCCAATTTGTAATTTATAATTCCTGGCAAAAGTCCTTGAGCGGGTGGTTGTTAGCCAACTCCAAACTCATCTTACACGAATAGCCTACTAGAGACTTTTCAATCTGGCTTTAGGTCTGGACATAGCACGGAGACTGCTTTAGTTAGAGTCTTGAATGACCTTCTCATTATAGCTGATTCTGGGGCTTGTGGCATTTTGGTTCTCTTAGATCTTAGTGCTGCATTTGATACGATATGTCATAGCATATTACTGGACAGACTACATAGATGGATTGGTCTATCTGGAACTGTGTTGAACTGGTTTAAATCTGATCTTTCAGAACGTTCTCAGTTTGTTTACCTGGGTACTAATAGATCTCAGACTGCGCCTTTATGTCAGGGTGTCCCTCAGGGGTCAGTTTTGGGACCTGTTCTATTTAGTATTTACATGCTGCCTCTTGGGCAGATTATTCAGAAGTATGGCCTGGGCTATCAGTTACGCAGACGATACCCAGATTTATATTAGAACTCAGCCTCATTCCACTTCTTCCTCTTTAACTCTTTCTGCCTGTTTGCTGGAAATTAAGGCGTGGATGAAACAAAACTTTCTAAAACAAAATTGTTCTAAAACTGAAATTATATTAATTGGCACTCCATCTAATGTTAATAAATTCAATAATTTTAAACTTTCAGTTGACAATACCCAAATATCTCTTGCTCAGGTGTGTAATTTGGGTGTGATGTTGATGCTCAGTTGACTTTTAATTCTCACTTCAAAAACGCTTTTTTTCCATCTTTGTAACATTACTCGCATTAGACCCTTTCTTTCTAGGCCTGATGCTGAGAGGCTTAATCATGCCTTTATCACATCACAACTCCATTATTGCAATTCTCTCTTTGGGGGTTTACCAGCAAGTTCTGTTAAGACACTACAATATATTCAAAACTCAGCTGTGCGAGTTTTGACTTATACATCCTCATGCCATCACATTACCCCAGTGCTCCAGCTCCAGCAACTTCATTGGCTGAATATTTAAATACGTTCAATCACGTATTGATTTTAAAACTCAGATTTTAACATATAAAGCAGTGCATGGGCTGGCTCCAGATTACATTTGTGACTTGGTAACTCTTTCCACACCTTCTCGCTCTCTCAGCTCTGCTGGTTGTTTTTCCTTGTATCAGCCTCGTTGTAAATGAAAAACCATGGGGGGGGGGGGGGACATTACAAATAAAATGTATTATTACTGTACTTTTCAAAATGAAGTCCACATTCAACTATTGTAACTTGTTAAACAGTGTTTACAGTTTTAAATTATTTTTTCCTTAAGCAATGAAGGAAAAACTATAAGGAAATGATTAATGGGAAAACAACAGCACAAGGTTACTACGGGATCTGCAGTATCTTGACTTGATTTACTTTTTGTAAAGGTTATTTTTATGACCAAGTTATTAAACTGCATGTGAAATGTTGATGGCATGGGCTTGCCCTTTCAAGCGCATTTATATATGACATTTCAGCAAGCGCTGCTAGAGTAAATTAAAGAACAAACACCGCACCACAATCTTGATTTAATTTAAATTAAACTGATGTGTTTATTGGTTTGAGAGAGACAGTCTTGAAAGAAGAAATCAGCGGTGTGTCAGTGAGGTGAAAGGTTACTTTAAGCAGCATTGTACATCACTCGGCATCTTGTCTAAGCATTCATCCAATTACACAAAAGCGCCATCAACTCATCAAGACTGTTTGCATCTGCGCTTGTCAATCAGTTCGAGGAGAACACAGTGCACTGACCCCTAAGCTTCTGTCATATTGATCCAATTGAAATTATGGCTGCATTCCAATGCAGAAAATATGCTGTGCATTTAACATCACTGCTACTCAAGTCATCTGTTCTAAAATAGTAAAATTTTAATAATAATGAACTAAAATTACTGTAGAATTGAAAGGAAAAACTTAGTGGTTTTCATATTATGCATACTACATGGTAATATTATTACATTTTAATATTTTTAAATAAAATTGTGGTTTGGTAAAAGAAAATTAAATTGAGCATTAATCTAGTCCCAATGAAATAACATTTCATATGGACAAAACGTAAACAATCTCTTACTCTAAAGTACGTAAACGTACTCTCTCACAATCATTCATCTGCAGATCAAGTGCAGAGGTACGTTTGTGTCTTTGCATGTTTGCCTGCACGTATTAACATAAGGTTGTTGTAATGATGATTGATGAGTCAGGTATTAAAGAGTATTCTTCTGGACGTTGGCCTCTTTCTCACACTTATCTGCATTTAAAAGAGCCTGATATCAGCTGAACACAATCACTAAGAAGGAGGAAGTGAGGGACATGGGACAACTAATCCGTTTAGTTTTTTTCTTCTTCTATATTTTCTGGCATGTATTCACCTAACTAAAAAACTAAACTACAAAAATTTTTTTATTAAAGACCGGACAGGGTCAATGTAAAAAATAAATAAATAAAAAATTACTGTCTGTGATAATGTAAGTAAAGCAGTGGGGGAAAAAACTAGCAATGTGGGAAATATCATAGATTTGGGATTACGTAATAGAACGTAACATGAATTTAATCTTTTTGTTTTATTTTTTACTTTTTTGTTTGTTTCTCAACTATGCAACAGCGTATCAGACAAATTCATTAGGAAAAAAACATTTGTTTTTTACACCAACAAAAATACATTAATAAACATGCATCTCAGTTTGATAGACAGATAAATGGAAGAAAAAAAATTAATGTGAATAAACAACAAAATGAAAGGTGAATTTGTGTACGTGTATTTCTTCTTGGTTTCTCTTATAATGCATCAGGCAGTCGTGATGTTCTTTAAATGTACTTTTTTAAATATTGGAATTATCATTGCTTTTCGCTTACATTACAAGAATAACAAAAAGGGTGGTCTGATACATGGAACTTAGAACAAATATTACTTTGTTTGCTTCATATTTACGGACTGATTTTACACAGGCATGGATAAATATGCAAGTGTGTCCAAACTTTACCATTTCACCAGCAATGGCACTGGTGTGTAAACTGCAGCATTAACCAAGAAAGAAGGTAAGTTTAACCAATGGTGATGCCAAACCCACACTGGAACTTGTTTTTTCTTTGGTTAAGGAAAGCACAGAGGGCCAGTGACAGAGGCAGAGGCTGCAGCTTTTTTTCCAGCGTAGCTCCAACCACCCAGTTACTGTCTAAAGAACCTACAGAAAGAGTGAAAAATTCAGTAAACCAATGTTTATCCCATAACCAATGAAATCTCATGCAAATTGCAATTACAGTTTGTTTTGTTAAAGGTCTTTGTGGTGAATTTTCATTGGAATATCTGGCAACAATCTTTGGAATGACTAGAGGTAAAGACAACACTCTATTAATGTACAAATGTCAACTAAGAAGACTGAATTGAAATGCTGCTCAATGGACGATGACACAGACACATTTGTGACTAAAAATAGATTTTTATGTGAACTGGAAAATGTATTTAGGAGTATGTGTGCAAATAAAAATTAGGTCCCCGCGGGTCCATTATTTTTTCTTTTCAAATTTATGGTTATAAAAACTCAAATATTTGAAATGGTACAACAGTCTTACTTATAACTTTAAAAGGACTTAAATTTGGGGCCAGAAAACAGGAAATGTGGCACGGCATAATGTGATTATTAAAAAAATGTAAAAAGGCTATGTTATAATTGCATCAATATTTGAGTACTGCACGGTTCACAGTAAAAATGTTGAGTGTTCTACAGGCTCGCCATTCCAGAGCAGTTCACAATCAATCAACAACTGTATATTTCATTTACATTTTATTTGGTTATTATAGTTTTTTTTCCAGTTACACAAACTGAATCTGGCATTTAATACAATTTAAATATGCATAATTCCATGGTTATTAAATAAATACAGCAAAAATATTTTTAAAATCTAGTGTACTTTTTGCATTTAAATAAATTAAATAATTTTGCTTGTAAATTCCTCCTTGTATCCCTTTAGGGAAAAACTAAGTACTTAATAAATTTTATTGCGCTCCTAATGTTAAATGAGGAGCACACATGCTCCTTATGAAAAAATCATCAAGGCCTGATTGAGGATAGATTGTGAAATATAACAACAAATGCAATTGCTGAATTCATCATAACCATACAAAATGATGAGATGTTAAAGAATGCTGTCTGTATCTACACATGCATGCATATTTACATGTTTACACCAACCTTTAAAGACCAGATCAGCTTTGGGGACGTCCAGCTGGTATCCAAATGATACACTAGTGTCCTGCGTATGGGTGCTCGCTTCAAACTCCACACCAACCTGCAACTAATAATAAACAACAAAACAAATGTCATTATAAAGCAATAAATGAACAAATACAGACATGACTCATTCTGCTGATGAACATTTACCTGATCATTGGCTTTGTGGTAATACGACCCATGAGCTCCAGCTCCTCCTAGTGTCAGAGTGGCCATAAAGTTGCTGCCTGTTTGTAAATACCCATTCAGATTTTGAAAATTCTGTATTCATACTTACAGACTGAATGTTTATTTTGGAACATTAACTTAGCTTATACATTTTTACGTCTTAATCTGGGCTAAAACACGTCAGACCAGAAAAGCTGTCTAGATATAGGTTAAAAATGTTCCGATTCTTTACTATTGTTCTTTATAGTTGCACTTAAATCTGTCTGAAACATCCGTTTACTTCATACATTTTTATTGTGTATTGTTTTTTTGTATTTAAAAGGTTCTTTTTGTTATTTGAAAAAGAGTTATTAAACTTTATTAAGGCTACATCCATATTAATCAGAATATCTATAATATTTCAAACGCAACTGTCATCATCTTTTACCAAAGGACAGCAATCAAGAGTAAATATTCTGTCATCCTTGCAGCAATGTAATATGAAGATTGTACGAAGTAACATTTATCTTTCGCAACATTATTAAAGCGAATAACAGGCACATCAATGCAGTTACATCAATAGATATCTATGGGTACAAAATGCTTTACATGACTAAACAGGCGCCGTAGTTTTCGAATACCTCAGTTATCACAGTTCACACTATCCTATAAACTGTGTTTTCTAATGTATCCACCTTGGAGAGTGCCTTCAAAAAGCTGTTTTCTCTGGACAAAACACTATCTCAGTGTGGACAAAAGACCAAAACATAGAGAAAAAGACGTGTTTATCTAGATTAATGTGGATGTAGCCAAAGAGGACAACACTTGTGTATCTTTTTAACATAATTTGTAATGTAATTCATCACTGTGATAAAAAGACTGAATTATAGTGACATGAAAATTGGATGCAGTCACATACCGATCTACTTTCTTTCTTTATACGTGTTTACCTGTATATCGGCCCGCCAGAGACATGACTGTTCCCTCCTCTCCGGGCCGTCGGTGATACACCAGCTCTCCCCCTAATGCCAGCGACGGAGTGACAGACTGGAGATAATGAGCAACAACAATTCCTGAGAAAGATGTGAGGGAACAGGAGGTGAGAGAACCAGAGAGAAAAATAAGTTGGACGAGTTAACTGAAGAAGGGACATGGCATGACTAAAAACAAATAAAGCTACTAAAATAAACCTCAAATTGCGGCACAAATAAACATGGATGAAACAGAAGACAATTACCAGAACCAATCAAGACGTCTGGGTTGCCAAAGGTCACAGTGGCAGTGAAATCTTCCCCTTTGAATTCAGCATCTCCTTGCCAGTTCACAAACTTCTGCTGCTGAGTCTGATTGAGACAAGTATGTCCAGCAATGCATTAGTATTACATCATAACTAATCAAAACAATAACACATACACAAATACACACCTGGAAGGCAAATTTCGAGCGCAATCTGTCTGTGATCTGATGAATAATCTGTGCATTTAAGCTCCCTGTGTTGTCCATGTCACCCACCATGACGGGAAAGGCCTGATAAAAATATTAAGGAAACTATAAATATTTGGATAAATGGCGCAAGTTCCTTTTTCAAATTAAATAGACTTTTCAGCAGGCTTTTTACCTCTGCTGGTCCTGCTTGTTTGGTCCCCACATAAGTAGCTCCAAACCTGTAAGTGGAATCTCCTTGAGTGCTTAGCAACACTGTGTGGCTGACCTATGAAATAAAATGAGATGATCTTGATGACGATCGGGAATACTTTCTTCAACAACATGGCTCAAGAAAATCCACCAGTAAACACACTGGACTGACCTGGAAGTGGTTGCTCAAAGCTTTGCTCACTGTTAGTCTAACACCCTCCATCTGCACAGGAAACACCTCTGAGGGACAAACAGACATCAGTGTAAAAACATTTGAATTTGTAATTATGAAAAGTCTAAGTAAAGTCATACAAGATACAGCTGAATTGAGAATGGCTTTTAAATTCCAATGGAATTCCTGCATTTGAATTTAATTTTAACTATAAAATTCTAATTTATGTCTCATTTAAATTTAAAGAAAGATTAAAATAAAACGAAATAAAAAAAAATAATAATGATACTACTACTAATAATAATTTAACTGCTGTTTTATAATTTGCAGATTTTTTTTTTGCAATACATTTTTCAGTATAAATCAGCCGTTAATGTAAATGTTATCATAGATATGCGGAATTAAAAAAAAAATGCAGTCCAAAACTAGTTCAAACGTTTTGCGCTCTGTAAGATTATTATATATATCAAATATCACATACAGGTGCATCTCAATAAATTAGAATGTCGTGGAAAAGTTATTTATTTCAGTAATTCAACTCAAATTGTGAAACTCGTGATTCAGCACTCTCTCTCTCTCTCACACACACACACTTGTCATTTAAATTTATATATATATATAAATGACTTTGTTCATAATTTTGATTGCTTCTTTAAAAAGTCATTATTTTCTTACCTTTGCATTTGCGATGGCACTCTTCAAAGCCACCAGGGTTTGGAAGAGGAGGCTCAGACTCCTGGCGCTCAGGTGAAGAGCTGCCGGGCACAGAGACGGGTGAGACGGGTGAGACAGAGGGCATCGTGAATCCTGGTGGTACTGACACCAAACCTGGTCCACCTGGCCCTAGTGCAGGTGGGCTGGGTGCACTGGCAGCCAACACACTGCCCATTCTTAAACAGGACAGATGAGATTAGAGGAGGAGAACATGTTAACAGATTATTCACTAAAATAATATAGTATGTAATCATTAGTTTCGGTCTAAAGTCAGTAGTTTCCATTTGTGAACGATAAACAACGTGCATGTCATGTTTACGTAGCAAGCCGTAAAGAGTCTTTGAAGGTCTTTTGCATAACGGAACTTACTAAACAACTGGATTTGTACGATTAGGAGCTGCTGCTGTTTCGTTAAGCATCCAGGTTCAAATTCAACACACGTAATTCGTTGACAAATTAGCTTGAAAGCTAAACGCCACGTTATTTGTTATTCTTGAGACACTACAGCTATTGGAAATATAAATGCTGTTTAGCTTTTTTTTTTTTTTTTTTTAAGTAATATTTCTAGCTGAGGTATGCCTAAGGGGTGCTGCGGATTTATTAGAAAATAAGCCCAATAACAATGAATCAATGACAACTCACGCTGAGCTTCACAGAGGACGGTTCTCCAGGTTACTAAACCACGTGTTCTAACCATGTCTGTTTTGTGAATGATTCATTCTTTCAGAGTCGGATCTTCTCAATGAATCAGATGAATCGCTTCACAGAACCAGTCTCATCTACTCGTTTACGAGTCGGACTGAATTGTTCTTGTAAGAATCGGTCCGAGCTGTTCTCAAGTCAATTATATGCATACATTTTGACGCTATGTTGCATTATGGCTGCAAAAAACTAAAACACCCTCATTTATAAAATGTAAAGGAAAAAAGTTCTGCATAACGATGACGAAATTACGTCAAGAATTCCTGAGTTCATTCAGACGAGCTGTTCAAAAGAACCGACTCATGGAAACGAGTCAGACTCCCCATACGACTTTCCGCTGTGTAAGCCCTCCTATTTTCAGCTCGACAAATCCGAAGCTAAATGGCTATTGGCCTGTTTACCTGTCAATCACTACGTAAAAGTGAAGCGGGTTTGACAGAGCGAGCACAAAGTAAAAGGGGCATTTGCTTGAAGGTCAATGAATGGGCTTTGGAGGTCGCTTGGGTTCCCGTAACCTGAACTGTGAGATGTACAAAGAATTATACAACCAAACAGAACTAGAGTTTAGTCATTCGATTTATGCGACGGATCCTTTAGTCTAAATGAAATATAGCCAACACCTATAAGTAAAAAATAATAATAAAACTGAAAAAAAAATTATATATTTGGCATATAATAAATAATTATAGGGATAATTATAATAATAATAGTACAGGACACAATTTAATAAGGTATATGAACACATCCGTGTGACAAATGTTCAAATTGAACAACTCAGAAAAAAAAAACTAAAAAATTTGATTCACAAAAATTTATTATTTTCATTAATTATTGACAATATAAATTGTAGTACTACAGTCAATTTAATAGGAAACCAATTTAAATGTTAAAGAGTTGCCTCTGGAAAATTACAAAAATATACATCCCCGATAAGTACTTTTTCACATTCACTTAAAAAATAAAAATAAAAAAGGAAACCTACTGTCATCTCTGATGTGAATGTATTGAAGTTGGGACAGATGACACTAATTATATTTCAAGCTATAATACATCCTATAACCTTGAGCTATTTAAATGAAATAAACAATAGAGGCAAAATATAAATCAATCACAGTCACACGCACACAATCATGAGCATTAAACTATTCTTGCATCAATTACAGAGAATCAAGCATCATATGTACATTAAACAATTGTTCCATATCTGCTCCCCACTTCCATTAACTGTGATAACCCATATAATACATACTTTTTTTTCAGAAACATCCTCACCAGAGAACAATTCACAGCATGACAGGTTGGATGGAGAATGTAGTTAGTCCATTCAAATAAGGTTTTGAAATATGCTAATAGTCTTACAAGGACAATAATCTTTCGAATTGCACAGCATCATCATCAGAAATTTGTAATCTGGCTCAAGGTTTCCTAATTGAACTGCGCAATGCTTATTTGCATGAACTGTGCTGTTACAATAGCTAAAGTAGTATGCAAACTGAGGTTTCTACATTAAAGCTTTGAGCTACATTCCACAAATCCCTGCTTAGCAAAAAAACAAAAACCCACAATAGAACATCTTTTGGAGAAAAATCACAGCTGCCCCTGAGAAGATGCTACAATTCTGCTGTACGAAAATACTCTGTCTTAATCAAAACATCTAATAAATGCAACATGAGGGTATGAAAAGACTTTTGCAAATATCCAAAAGGGAATAAATAGGATTTTTGCCTCCTTTCTGCTAAAGATATATATATATATATATATATATATATATATATATATATATATATATATACACTACACAGAATATGGATCAAAGTAAAAAAGCAAACATTTTGGCAAAAACATATATACATATCTGTAAATAACAATGTCAAAGTTCATTAACCACTTTATACATTAATTCATATCAAAAGAAATGAAAACTGTAAAAGACGCTATCCTCGACCAAACTTCGCACCAACCTTTAAATAAATGAGGGAAAAAAGGAACCAAACAGACCTTTTTGACAAACTGACATAGTTGTGCATATAAATGTGAGGACCTGGTCATACATGTGACTGCAGTGTGGTGAATGTTTAAATCAGCTTTCATGTAGTAGTCCGACATCTCTCACATTATGCCAGTTTTGGCATGCCTGTTTAAGTTAGGAATGTCTAATATAGTATAGTTTCAGAATTATATTAAAAAGAAAAAAAATTGTCTTTGTTTGAAACCATAATTTATGTCTATATTTCCTTATGAATTCCAAATTTACATTTGCCTGTGACTACTAATGAAACTACAAAACGCACTACTAATGAAGATGTTTTTTTTCTCAGGCAGTTTAGTGCAATGGTTCATGTTCACACCTGAATCCTGAGCTCTGCAATATTTCCATGGATGCTGGTTTCTCTAGCTGCCTCAGACGGAATATAAACAGAATCTGAAAAATGCTTCTCTCATCAATAAATCAATACCAATTTTTCTTTCACAGAATCCAGTATCACCAGTATGCTGCAAAATCCTGTGTTAAGTCTTTGGGAATACTTCAACATACCAATGACATTTTAATCTAAGACAGAGATAATATATATTAAGGCACTTGGGTTAAACAGGTTTTGTTCTATGGTTTGTGTGTAAATTCTCAACTAATGATACAAGTATGCTATGCTCTATGTTCACCAATACCTTTGTTTATTGTTTTCTATCAAATAGGAACCTTTCTCTGAATGTTTAGTTTTAGTTCTTGCATGTCTCAACTGGTCATTTATAAAGAGGTATAACCCCCCCCCCCCCCTAAAAATGAACAATGTATGAAAAAAGAAAAAAAAAATACTGTGGAGCTGGAAAAGATATGATATGAAAGATATGAGCAGGGAAGTAACTGGATTGTGCAAAAGCAGATATTTGTGCAAAAGTCAGGTTCAGTTTCTCCAACTATCCTAGAAAGAGCAGATGGTAAAGTCAGTCCAATTTTCACTGATTCATATGGAAATATAAATTAGACATTGCAATATTAGGTATTCTTAGATCAATAAACACACTTTAGGTGAATTTCCCCATTACATGACATAAGTACATAAAGTCTCCCAACTGTATGCCTTTACCTGCTCTCTAATGGTGCTTCCTAATGGGCTTCAGACCCTCCGCTAAGGTGAGATGCCTCTGCCTCACAGTCAGGGTTCACAGAGTGAAACTCTGCCACATACAGGCTCTTATCGATGCTACCGGGAATGGGCTTTATGTCTGTCATCAGTTGGTCCTCAATGGTCTTCAGGTTAAAACGATCCTCAGCTGTAATGAGATTGATTGCCAAACCCAGATGTCCAAACCTTCCTACAAATTGAACACAGGGGCCATATGATGATACATTATAAATAATATAAAAGTTTAAAGTGTGTAATAAAAAAAAGTGTAAAGTCTAAATAATGTAATCCAAATTTAATCCTCCACATCTTTGTTGTCTGTCAACTTCACCTGAGCGTCCGATGCGATGCAGATATGTTTCTGCATTCTTGGGGAAGTCAAAGTTGATGACCACATTTACTGCCTGGATGTCGATGCCTCTAGTGAATAAATCTGTATCAAGAGCATAAATTCAGTTAGAAACACCTTGACAAAACATACATTTTATTTTTAGCTGATGTTATTATTATGCAATTACACAAAAAAAGAGTTAAGACACTCACCGGTGGAAACAAGGTTCCTGCAGAGCCCATTTCTAAAGTCGTGGAAAACACGGTTTCTGTATTCCTGCCATGTGAATAAAATGAAGTGACAATGTTTGCTGTCACAAATAATTGCAATACTGCAAAGTTTCAAGAATTTGACTGAAGCGAATAAGCAAATCATGCTGAACAGATCTGAATTACACTGGAACTGACAACAACAAAACACATACAGTACCTGCATCATCTTAGCATGAATGTAAAAGCAGGAGCAGCCCAGCTGCGTGATCTTCTTGGCCAAAAGCTCCACTCGCTGAGTAGAGTTACAAAAGATGATGGACTGATTTATCTGCAACTATTGAGAGAAATGCTTGGGTCATGTTAACGGTAGAAACAATGCCATTTGTTAGAATTCAGAAAAGAACAAAAACAGCCTAAGCTAATGCATTAAAGGAATCGTTCACCCAAAAATTAAAATTTACTCTCCCTCAGTTCATCCAAGATGTAGATCATCACAGATTTAGAGAAAATTAATTTTCAAAATTTGCTCACAAATGGATCCTCTGCAGTGAATGGGTGCCAATAGAATGAATGAGTCCAAACAGCTGATAAAAACATTAAAAACCCAATAATCCACAACATTACTCCAGTCCATCGATTAATGTCATGTAAAGTAAATAGCTCGTAAATAACAAAAAAACTAAATAATTCAAGCCATGTTTAACTTCAAACCATTGAGTTTGGCTAAAATATCAGTCCTATATCCATAATACTGCTTTCTCCAGTGAAAAAAACATCTTGTATGGATCAGGAGAGAAATATGCACAGATCAAGCACCGTTTACAAGTGAAAACCATCCAACATTTCAACACAAATAAGTTTCACTGGAGGAACTGCAATCATAGATTATGGACTGGTATTTTGTCCAGAAGTGACAGTCAAGTTAAAACACCTTAATAATGGGTTTTTTGTTTTTGAGGGAGAGTAAATTCTCAGCAAATTTAAATTTTTGGGTGAACTTTTCCTTTAACTCATGAGACTTAATATATTTAAAGGGGCCAAAATGCAAAAAATACTTTAAGTTTCAGAATTCAAAACTAAGCAGCCATTCAGAAGCCATCATGATTGTGACATTGTACCCACCTTAAATATATATATATTTTTTTTATTTTTTTTTAAGTCCTAAAAGAAAATTCACTCTTTTACCCTGGAGAACAGTGTGTTAAGGCAGTGGACTTTCTGTCTTTCTGTGACGTAAGCATAGTACTGCGTAATGCCTTTTAGGGTCAGTTCCTCCATCAGATTAATCTCATAGGGCTTCTGCAGGTGCTTTGCCTGATGAGATACAAAAGTGTGTAAATGTAAAACCTGCAGATGTAGAAAGAGACATGAGCACAGTGAAAGCATAAATGTGTTCAAAATGATGCACAGACTTCTCTAACCATGAACTTCTGTACACTGATGGGGAATGTGGCTGAATAGAGCAAAATCTGTCTGTTCTTTGAAAGGAAACCAATGATGTCCTCAATAATAACCACAAAGTCCTGAGAGAGCAGCTTATCAGCCTATAAGAAAACAAGCAATGAAGGTTGAACTTTGATAGTGGTGTTATTAACAACATCTAAACAACTGTGTCAAGATGTTCCATTGTGAAAGTGTGCAACAGGAAATAATCATTTTTTTAATAGTCTGACGGGCATGTACAGTAAGCATGTGCAATACTCACCTCATCCATAACCATCATCTGAACTTTATTCACTTTGGCTATGCCCTTTTTTATCAAGTCCAAGATTCTGCCAGGTGTTGCTATAACAACATGAACTGCAGAAAACAGTTTTGAACAATATGCTTTTACTGCAGAAGATGATCATACATGTAATCTCTTTATGATTTGGTGATCACTGAACATTACCCTCCTCATCCAGGCGCATGATATCATCTCGTAGGTTGGTCCCACCTGTGGTTGCCATGACCTTGACACCACCCAGGTGCTTGCTGATCTGAATACTGATCTGACTGACCTGCAGAGCCAGTTCACGAGTGGGAACTATCACAATGGCTGCAGGTAAACACAGAAAGATAGTACAGTAAAAAAAAAGGGGTTGGGGAATAAAAGGTACATCTTGTGTAAAATGTTTTGGAGAGAGATACCCTGGATATGATCCTTTTTTATGTCAATTCTCTCCAGAAGGGGGATAAGGTATGCACCACTCTTTCCGGTCCCGTTTTTGGCACGAGCCAGTATATCGCGGCCAGAAAGGGCAATAGGAATACTCTCCTCCTAAAATAAAAATGTAAAAACAATTGAAGGAACAGTTCACCCAAAAATGAAAATTTGCTGAAAATGTACTCATCCTCAGGCCATTCAAGATAAAGATGAATTTGTTTACTTCATCAGAACAGATTTGGACAAATTTAGCATTACATCACTTTACAGAGGATCCACTCTGCAGTGAATGGGTGCCGTCAGAAACAGAGTCCAAACAGCTGATTAAAACATCACAATAATTCACAAGTAATCCACACGAGTCCAGTTCATCAATTAAAACTTTGAGGAGAAAAGCTGCTCACAATTCCATCATTAAGGCATTTTAACTTTAAATTGTTGCTTCTGGCCAAAATATGAGTCCATAATCCATAATAACACTTCCTAAAAAAGTTCATCCCTGTTCATCACATCAAAATCCACCGATATATTTGTTTAAAACTGTTTTGGACTGTTTGCGCTTGTAACAGGTGCTTGATTTGTGCATATTTCTCTTCTGATTCAGACAAGATGACTTTTTCACCACTGGAGAAAACAATATTAGGCTTTATTACTGTTTTGTAGCTATAATGCCAATATAGGAAGCAACAGTTTGAAGTTAAAAACGTCTTGATAGAATGGTTTGTTACAAACATGCAGCTTTTCACTTCACATGACATTAATTGATGGACTGGAGTTGTGTGGATTACTGTGTTGTTTTTATCAGCTGTTTGAACTCTAATTCTAACGGCACTCATTCACTGCAGAGAATCCAATGGTGAGCAAGTGATGTAATGCTACATTTCACCAAATCTGTTCTTATGAAGCAACAAACTCATCTATATCTTGGATGGCCTGAGGATGAGTCCATTTTCTTCAAATTTTCATTTTTGGGTGAACTATTCCTTTAAGCATAAACACTGAGGATACCCATGTTGTTCAGAAAGACTGGTAACTTGTCTATGCAAAGTTCTTGCATCTATTACCTGAATGGGGGAGGGCTTTTCCCAGCCCATCTCAAAAATGCCCATCAGCAGCTCTCTCTTTAGACAGTAGTCCTCAAACTCATTCCCTTTGGTTGCAGTCACATCCTTGAGAGAAAGAAATAGCATTAAATAGACAGATCATAAGGAGATCTGTAGTTGTACTTAACAAAATGAAAAACAATCACTATTCATCAAATGCATGTTGCATGTTTATATAAGAATTCTACATTGTGTGTTTTGGTGAAAAACAAGACGTCCATATAATGACATTACATTCATTTTTAAAAAGGAAAAAAAGTTGAAAACATTTCACTGAAAGACTTACAGAAGTTTTGACTCTATTGTCCTTAGCCGGGAGCAGTAGGCTTTTTTTCCAGTCATCACCAAACCTGTGTGTCAGTAAATTAATATCTATACTTCTGTACAAACGTTTGGGGTCAGTAATACATATGCATATATTTGTAAAGAAAGAAATTAATTAACAAAAGATTTCTATTTCAAAAGATGTCTATTCATCAAAGAATCCTGTAAAAAATGTATCATGATTACAAAAACTTGATGATAATAATACAGAACGTTTCTTGAGCAACAAATCAGTATATTAGAATGATTTCTAAAGGATCATGAGACACTGAAGACTGGAGTAATGATGCTGAAAATTCAGCTTTATCATTGCAGGAATAAATTACATTTTAAAATATATTAAAACCGAAAACAGTTATTAGAAATTGTAATAATATTTCACAATATTACTGTATTTTTGATCAAATAAATGCAGCCTTGGTGAACATAAGAGACTTAACAGACCCCAAACTTTTAAACAGATGTGTACATAAACGGACATGTCATATATAACACACATGCATTCTAACTAAGCAAACAAGTGTTCATTATGACAGTATAACACCCTTACCTGATTCCAGGTCCTTCCTGAGATGCATTAGCTGGTTTCTGGGTCCCCATGGGCTCCTTTCCAGGCTGAGAACTCACAGATTGGGGTCCTAACTGAGAGGGGCCTTTAGGCTGTCCAATAAGATGCCTATTGTGTGTGTTTAACCCTATGACAGCAGGCCCAATGTTCTCCATCTTTGTTGCCATTTTTTAAAGTTTCTAAAGCTTTGCCATGTCTTTTTCACTTTTCTAATGCCTTACTAAGGTCTAATAAGACCTAGTGAACCATTCACAGTGTCCACAAGGCCTCAATAAAAAGTGTCACTAAAGAATCTTATCAGATATTTATAAATTCTACATACAGTTTAGGCTCAATAATTCAGAGCAATGCTGCCACACAAGATTTATTACAAGGGCTCTTCTAAAAGAAGAGAAATAAATATTTATGTGAATAAATATTGCACACAGTATAGAAAATTATACCTGGACAGGTGTAAAAAAGAACTTGTCTGCTAAGGCAATCTGAACTACAGAAAGATCTAGACCAGAACTTTCTTTTCGTGTCTACACTTCTGCAATATTTACAGCATCTAAACAGCGCTTTGTAGTCTTCTGGCTGCCGATTCGCACTTTTACGTCTTCAGATGCAGTTTAACTCTCAAATGTCCTTTCCTCTGTGTTGACATCCAGTTGTGCCCACACCTGTGCCACCTGCAGAGAAACAATGTGGAAATCAAAGACAATTCACTATACAAACTGAAATGACATGAAATATTCTGAAAGATGTTCATGGAATAACCATTTTTTATTTATTACCATTTTACAGTAGTCACTATATCAATGTTATATTGGTAAACCTTTGGTTATCATCATTTATTGTAAACAGAAAGTTTTTTAAAACTGTCTAATGCAATGTGATAATGGGTCATAATCATCCCCTGACAGAAAAAGTATTGTGGTGTAAAATGGTGTGCAAGTATAGTATAGTATATAAAGTACCTTGTCACATGTCATGATACTGAATTATTCCCATATTGGAAAACCATTGTATTTATGTTGCACTTTACAGTACTTAAAAGTAATAACAGTGAATTACCATGGCACTTTTACTAAAGTGAATATTGAGACATTATATAACATTAATTTCGTAAACGCTACGATTACTAATTCTAGTAATTTCGACTTTATTCTCGTAATTTTGACTTTATTCTCAAAATATTTCGACTTTCTTCTCGTAGTTTTTACTTTTTCCTCAAAACTTTCCTTTAATCTCGTAATCTTAGTTTTTTTTTTTTTAACGTGGCACTAAAACGCCGCCGTAAATTACTTCAGGCAAATCATTTGAAAAATAATCCCAAACTGACCGACATCAAATAGTTTAGTTAGCAGGTGAATTGTGCTAAGCTAGGCTAATTTATAACATTACTCTAAAATACGACAGTTAAAACCAAATATTTACCTGTACTTATGTCAGTTTCCTATGTTGCCATATATGTGAGGTAAATTACTTGGTAATTAACGTGGTATTTATCATGTCGCTACAAGCAGCTCGTCTCTTTGTTGTATTTCTGTCAACACGGTCGAGCGACATGGACGTCAGTGGCCTTCGTTTTGAGGCTGCACGTCTGAGATGCTGCCATCAACGGTACGGAGGCTCTTATGACCCTAACTATAAAACATTCATTTATTTACTGCATTTCTTTCTTTAAATGCATGCCTTTATTCCCTTAAAATTACTGTGGTATCCATAATGTATTTTAGGCATTCTTAGTCATAAAAAATAATAATACAAGAAAAACCGTAATTTTTTTTTAATTATATTGATTTTTTTTTTTAAATACGTAATGATTTCAGACTTGAAATTCTTATTAGTAGTAGTATTATGAAGTAGGTACTAATACTTATCAAATTACCATAGTTTTCTTGTAGTAACAATAACTGCAAAATATAGACCAAAACCTAAAACAGCACTGGAAACAAAGGGTGCTTTAAAAATAGTGGATTATTCATTTATTGCATTTGACATTCAGTTAATCAAAATCCTCTCAGAAATGTACAGTATAGAACAAACATCTTTGGTGTTATAAGAAAAAAGTACAGGTCATCATGTGCTGAATCTAATTTGGTTATGCTTATGAACACCTTTTAGCCATTTAGTTTACTGCATCATAACGTGAACTGGTAACAAGTCAACAGTGAAAGATTCTTGTGCATCTGGCCAGTTGATTTTCAAGAAATGAGGTAACCTGTTAATATGAAGGTTCAAGTGTAGACAACAGTACTATGAAAAGACACAATGCTGTAAAGCTTAAAAGCGCATCCTCAAAGTTTTGTCACATATATAATCATATCACACACAAATATCCTTGTAAAATTAATTAAACATTTTAAAATAATGATATAGCTTACATTGTAATTTAATATCATAGCAGGGGTGTCAAAGTAATTTCAGGCCATGAGACACACTGGACTAAACACAACTTTGTGTGGGACAATTGAAGTTTTTTTTTTATATATATATATCATAAAGAGTGTTGTGTGTTTGACACCCCTACGTTTAAACATTCAAACCATTTTCATTTCAGATAAAAATAAGAGGTCAGACATGGTGATTTTAATAGAATCCACAGTGCAGTTGCTTTAAATATTAGTTTGCAGTGCAGCAGTAGCTAGGATTGATCTTATTGCATCACTACAGGCACAATGGTGAAATTTTGGTGGATGATTAGACATTCAGTTCGTTCAGAACACAACAGTGAATAGTTCATGTGAATACTTAAAAATGAGTCATTCTGATGCAAAACTGCACATTAAGCCTATGACTTTAGTATTGCAAGCTGGATCTACAATTGCTTCCAGGAGTTCAGCTGGTGGATAGACTTTAAATTTCTGGTTTCAAACCAGTCAAAACTAGTTTCACTTCATTATTATTTAGATCCCTGGAACTTCTTGGACATCATGACTTTCCCAAGCCTAAACTGTCTAATTGAGCCCCGGCTGCCTCTGATCAGCAGGTAGTTCCTCTTGCTGAAAGACTTCTCGGATTCGTTTCACACATATATCAGATGCTTCCTGGGTTTCTTTGGAAAGCTGAAATAGGCTCAGGAAGCCATGGGGAAGGTCTTCAACCACAGTGAGCGTCACAGGCTGGTTCATATTCCTAAGCTTTTTGGCAAGCATCACTGAATCATCTAACAGGGCATCCAAAGCTGAGGCCTGAAAAGAACAATCAAAGCATTAAAATAATAGTTTCAACATTGTTCTTGGAAATGCATTTTCATCATGTCTTACCACTATATGCACAGGTGGAAGCCCCTTGAGAAGACTGTCCGGAGCAAGTAGAGGAGAAACAAATGGGTTCTTCATTATTGGTGAGCAAGGTGTCTGTATATCCACCAGACACCTAGACCGGAGTGGCTCAAAGTTGTCTGGGTATTCTTTGACTTCCTGTGGTTTCTCTACAGAATGTGACTTGGAAGTTGAAGGACCGTTTGATGATGTGGTTGAAGAGGATGACGATGCTGCTTTTGGATCTAATAAAGTCTGAAACCAATTTGTTGCTCCTTGGGCGAAGTTAGTCAGCAACTTTACTGTGTCCTGTCCCAAAGCAGCCAAGGTGTCTAACTGCTGAGCTGGCTGTACTGACTGACAACTCATACCTGAGATAGAGACAGTGACCAAGAGACAGTACAATCATGAAAGTGTGGTAGATAAAGCTGCTTTGAAACAATCTGTACTGCATAGAACTCTTGTCTGTAACATGACTTGACTCAAAAGCTCACCAGCATAGGCATCAATACACTTGTAGAGCACACTCAAAGGCAGCAGAGGGTCGATTAAAGTCAGTAGTCTGGATGGTGAGGCGTCTGTTGTTAGCAGAGTTGCTGGGTACGCTGCCACAATCCCATCAGGAACACGTACACCGTGAGACATTGCCCTCATAGAGACTGTTATACACAGGTTACCACCTGCACTGTCTCCCACCAAGCAAACACGCTCTGCAGTCGAGCCTGTGCAGCAAGATCAACATTTAGAGAGTCCTGAGGCATGGTTGACATGGATTGCTTGTCATGTTCACACCTGTTATTATGCTCACACACCTAAAGGTAAAAATAAAGTTCATATGGTTCTTTGCAGAAGTTCAACCCTCTTTTTATAGGAATTGTGACTGGCTATATGGTTTTATGGAGGGTAAATAAAAGTTATTGCTCTTCTCATTAACATCTTGAATGTCATAAAATGGAAAAATTAAACTGATTTAACCATCAAATTATGGGCATTTGACCAAATACTTTTGGGAAGTTTTGTAGTGTGATGTACTTCACCTAAAATTATTTAAAAAGCAAAGCATTTTGTTAATTATTTTATAATTACTATACACTACCGTTCAAAAGTTGTGGTCAGATTTTTTAAATGTTTTTAAAATAAGTCTCACCAAGGCTGCATTTTATTGATATTGTACAGTATTTTACTGTACGGTAATACTGTATAATTACAATTTCAAATAACCGTTTTCTATTTTAATACACTTTTAAAATGTATTTTTTTCCCCTATCTGCAGTCATTACTCCAGTCTTCAGTGTCACATGATCCTTCAGAAATCATTCTAATATACAGATTTAACTCTCAAGAAACATTTATTCTTATTTTCAATGTTGAAATCGGTTGTGCTGCTTAATATGTTTGTGGAAACCATGATTTTTCAAGATTCTTTGAGTAGAACATTTATAAAACAGCATTTATTTGAAATAAATATATTTTGTAGTATTATAAGTGTCTTTGCATCCTTGCAAACATTTGAATGGTAGTCCACATTAAGTTTTTTTTAATATTCTTTAATAATAATAATATAATATATATTTTTACTATTAACAACATTATTAACATTATCTCATGTTAACTGAGAAACTGTGATAGAATAATTGTATTTACAATTTCATTTGTTGCAGCGTATTACATTTCCTATTTAGACGGCAATAAAATCATTGACTAGCACATGTAATTACTGAAATTACATTATATCTCCATAAAACAATTACTGTCTGCATATTAGTTTAGTTATTAGTCCATTTGGAGAGGAGTGTGCTTTACAAACCCAGCAAGTGGCAATTCTTTAAGGCCCAACAGTAGGCATAGAAACACTCCTCTAGAGCTCGGGGGAACGGGGCCTCTGGAGCCAGTGAGTAATCCACAGAGAGAATAGGCACATTCAGATCCTTTGACCAGCTCTTCAAGTAATTCTACAATAGAGAGAAAACAAGACAGAGGGCCTCAGAAAAAAAACACAACATCCTAACAAAGAAATCATTTAGGTGAGAAACCTTATATAGGGAGGTAAAATTGCCACACCTCATGTGATTTTGAAGTTTGTGCAACAAAGCCTCCTCCGTGGAAGTGTACGAGCAGGCACGGAGAAAGAGGAGCTGTCTGACGACTGAAACCCCCTGGCAGAGAGAGCTGAGGCCCCTCGGGACGAGAAAGGGCCAACAGTTCTGCACTGTCCTGAGGGAAGAGTTTGAATATGGAGGAGATTTGGCAGAATTAATTGTTTGAAAGAAAAGCAGCATTTAATTACAAGAATGTTGAAAACATTTCTTCATACTCATGCTGGAAACATCATTCAGAGCCTTAGGATACCTGTTTGTCTTAAAAATATGTAATGAATTATTTCTTTTTCATAAAACACACAAACCTGTCCTTGTCGGAGTGTGTGAGAGATCAAGCGCACTTTGACTGGCCCAGGGCCCCAGTGTGCAACTGGAGGATTCATAGAGACTGAGAAACTGGGGTCAGAGGCCAGTGGCAAACTCAGACTTACAGCTGGTATGGTTAATATTACATTCACTTGCACCACAGTGGAAGCAATCCTTGTCAAACTCTTTGGAAAAATACAGAAAGGAAAAAAGATAGAAAAAGGATAATTGAAACTCTTCTGTCTTATTTAAACTTAGCATTCAAAAGTTTGGTGTCAGTCAGAGTTTTTTAAATAAATTTATATATTTATTCAGAAAGGATGCAATTAATTGATCAAAATGACAGTAAAACATTTATAATGTTACCAAAAAATTATATTTAAGTTCTTTTGAACTTTCCATTTATCAAAGAATCCTGAAAATGTATCAAAGTTTCCACAAACGTATTAAGCTGCAAAACTGTTTTCAACATTGATAATAATAAGATATGTTTCTTGAGCAGCAAATCAATATAAATGAATGATTTATGAAGGATCATGTAACACTGAATACTGGAATAATGATGCTGAAAATTCAGCTTTGCATAACAGGAATAAATGACATTTTTAAATTATTCAAACAGAAAACAGTTATTTACAAATTGTAAAATTATGTAACAATACATTTGACTATTTTTGTTCAAATAAATGCAGCCTCGGTCAGCATTGTTAAAAATCTTACTGACTCCAAACTTTTGAACGGTACTATAAATACTGTAAACCTACAGTTTAACAACAAGAACAATATAACAAGGCATTGATATTGTTTTATCTGTTCTCATAGAAGCACACATAAACATACTTGTACTTACTGATAATAGCTCAGTCTCTGTAAGGTTCCAAAAGGTTTTCCAAAACTGCATATCTAGATTTTGTGTGATGCGCTCAAACTCTGTCCCCC